TCATAGCCGAATAGCTTTAAAGTATCTATTTTATCAAATCAAGATGTTTATAGTCAATCCAAATCGTTTGAATAAAATCTAATAATATCCACCCTCATTTCATATTAAGCAATTAACAAAATGAGATTTCAATCTTTATAGATTTAGCAACTGCTATTTCGAAATATAAATATTTTAAAAGTATTACATTTCTCATTTTATAAAATAAAGGTAACAACATAACTCAAACGTTTCCCTTTATCTTCAACATAAGTTATTAATTAAACTTATAACATTTGCCTCAAGTATCATTTGCTAACAAGTTTTTAAAATAAGATTTTTCAAAACAACATGACACCACTTCATATGCAACCCGACTCAAAAACACATGGTGACATCCTTTCCTACTTGTCCCCACGAGTACGAATACACACTTACGAACAATCTCATGTATCAAGTCAAAACATATATTTAGAGAAAATCTCTCAAGTAGAGTAAGTTTTAATCAACCTAGTTTAAGTCCAAGCTCCAAAATAGCACTATAAGGCTCCAATTCGTTTAGAACTCTCAAACGTCGCCTACAAGTCAATATCCATATAACAACTCATATTCACCAACGACATGTTATGATAACACCAACTAAGTCAACTAAGTGTTCAACACTTAGGACTAACTTTACAAGTATAGTAAAAATCGATGTTCCTAACATAGAAGTCGGTTCTTGAGTTTTAACTTTAAATTTCTCATTGCATACACAATATTACATTATTCAATAATTGAATTGCTCACAAGATAAAAAAAAAATATCATTTAACTCATTTTCACCAAATCGACATTATTCATCGTCTCTATCCACTAGTCAATCTTATTCACAATACCCATTTCTAGGGTTCATCTCCCAACTCAACCAAACCATGATTTTTACTCCAAATCACATTCTATATGCTTATTTATACATAATAGATGAATATTGAGTAGTAGGATTACCTCTTGAAGATAAATCTTGAAAATCTCCATTTTTGTGCTCTAGGAGGATTTGGAAGAATCTAACAAATTTCATGGTTGAATCTTGTTACTGGTGGTGTTAATCAACTTGAATTAACTTAAAACTTGGATAAAAACTCACCTTGTATGATCTTAGTGAGCCTTGATCGAAATCCTCTTCAAACGCCCCAAAGAACTCCCAAACTTGACCCCAAATCATCTCTTCCCAACCTAGGATTTATTTATAACCTTCCCAGGTGCGCTACCGTGCATTTGGGCGCGCACTTGGAGCAGTTGACTTCTTCAGGTGCGCTGCCGCGCATCGGACAATGCTTAGTAAATTTGTCATAACTTTGTGTACAAAAGTTCAAATGACAAAGGGTTTGAACCGCTGGAAACTAGATTCAAAGATCTTTAATTTTATAGGTTGAACCCACTCGTTATACACATGGATATATGGTCGTTTGAAGTTAGGTCATGTGCGACCTTGGGCGCCTCCTTTCTTGTAACAATTTTAACTTGTCCCAAACTACTTTACCCCATTTCTAAATATTATTATAACCCTTCAAACCATGTCCAACATAACATATCAAATAAATTTTGTTCGTATCTTTTGTCGTTGTTAGCATGCAATTGATATGTTTAGCTCGTAATGACCTTCTAATGAGGCCTTTAACATTTGAAAATTTTCGGGGTGCTGCACATATGAGAAGTTATTTTATTGGCCAAATACATAGGCAGCCCCCTTAAACTTGATTTTAATTTTCATTTAGACACTCTAACTAGGACTTGTACCTATTGAGCACTCAAACCCTTACAAAATTGTGCCTGTTGAGCACCTCAGACAATATGTATAAATAAGTTAGGCGTGTGACAACAATTGATTCGGATGTGGAAAATCAGATAAATAAATGATAGCCACGTGGAAGTTAAAAAGAAGAAGCTCTTTCTCCACATTGGATACCCTTCCCACCGTTCATCTATCTTCTTCATTACTTTCCTTTCACTCTTCTGCTTTTTCTTTTTCTTCTTTCCTCCTCTTCTTCATTTCATCTTTCCCCTCTCATCTTCTAAACCTCTGCCCAAAACCTACAGCTTTACCTACTTTCTTTTTGTCTTCTAAGATTTATTTCACATCACTGAACTCTTTTCTTCACCTAATCACTATTCATCACCCGGTACTTATCTTCGATCTCCATTTTGGTACAAAATTAAGGTCATTTGCGGCAATGGAATCGTTGTATTTAATTCAATAATTCCGATGTCACAATATAGAGAGTATAAGGGCCACTATTCGGAGTGTTTGGATATCCAAGAACGGAGAATAAAGTGGGCGCCATTGATGGATGGTATTTTTTAATCTTCAGTATTTAATAGAGAAATTTTATTGGTGGTGAGATGATAATAGTAATACTGAATAATATCTGTAAATACCACGACGAAGAATTACGAATTCACTGTAAGGCCTCTAAAACTACTGTAAATACTTGAAATTAATGTAAAGAGTAAATCTTTCATAAGATGAGAAATAACTGGCAGTAGTTATCTTCAATGGCTCCGATGAGGTGATGTGTGATTTTTCCGGCGATGGTTGAGGTGGCTTAGTGATGGTGATATGGTTTTAAAAAGTGATCTTTAGGAAAATAAAGATATATTTTTGGATCAATTCACGCGCAAGAGATGTGAAATGCATTCCTTCTGCCATGTCAGCCTATTGTGTTCAATTGGCACAATTTTATTAGGGTTGGAGTGCTCAATAGGTACATACCCTAGTTAAAGTGTCTAAATAGAAATTAGAATCAAGTTTAAGGCTCTGCCTATGTATTTGGCCTATTTTATTAGTAACTTGTATTTGGCTACTTCTTTTAAAGAGTAATTTTTATGTTGTCAAATTATGAAAAATTATATACATTTAAATTGTCGCCTATTTATCAATTAGCAAGATAACTCCCAAAAACTTGTTAAACAATTATATTTATTTGTAAATCAATCTTATATTTCATAAGATAAATTTATTTAAATAAAAAACGAGTCTGAATGTAGTGATTTGTAATTTCTTATTTACTCTAACCTAACTAGTCGAACATGCATACTAAATAAGAAGCCAAGTAAAACTAAACTACAAAGAACTCAAAAATTACAAAAAGAAATCCAATTAAAATATATTAGTATATTACTGGCACTCTCATTACAGTGATGGCAAAGAAGAAATAACAAAATGTGTTTGAACACTATAATTGGTCGAAAAATAAAATAAAACTTCGTTTGCTTTTGTCTAAAAGTTGAAAACCGTTTTCGACTATTACTTAAAAATACTATTTCCTCACTAAAAACCCGGCCAAATATAATGATAATTCCTTAAAATAACTAATTTTTTTTTTCAAAAATAAGTGCTTTTGATCTTTCAAAACTTTACCCAAACAAGCTACAAATAAATTAGGTTCGGTTTGTTAAGTAACACTTCCATTATAATGTGCGGATCATAAAACGAGATTAAATAATAACGAGAATTATTTAGTAAATTTATTGATAAATATTTAATTTGTTGGAATAGAATGAATATATGATGTATAAATATAAATTATGTACATTTGGTTTAATACTATATAAACTTGGATAGAATTTTAATTTTCAATATTAGCCTTAATTTTATTAAAAGATTTCGGCGGAAGAGATTTGAAAAGGGTAATTGGTAAATATGTTATTTTGATATTTCTTCTCGAGATTAATAATACATAATTATTCCCTATAAAATATTATGCTACAATCGTAATATGCAAATATTGAAATAAAAAATTTAATCAAACCCAAAATAGTTGCATTCCTTTAATCTTTGTAATCAAATGACCCGCAAAGAGTAAAGTGCTGGCATTTTATCCATTGAAACAAAAAAGAAGAGAGTAGGGATCCGATTAGGGGTCCTTTAGTTTGAAGATAAGTTATGTTGGAATTGCTTATATTGAGATTAATGATCACGCCCAACTCTAGTCCTAAAAAGGATAAGCGGTCGCTGCAAATATAATCCGGTCTAAAAGTCCGGAGTCGAATCCCACGGAGAACTAAGGCTTAGCTACAATTGTTCACTATCACCAAGAACACAAGCTTGAACAATTCCTAACTTATAGATATTAAGACTCTTGTGTTTAACCAACTAACTAACAAATTAAAATAATAAACTAACACTAAAGATAGAGGTCTAGAGTTATGATTTCCCCAATTGTCGGAATCCTTCCCGCTATGTCTTCTATAATTTCGCCTAAGTATTCTCTACCGATCATGAGCGCTCTGCGTGTTGTAATTCTCTCCCGAGTAATTACGATAATTTACTAGACATACTCTCACGAGTTACGCTAGCTGGCTTTAATTACAGCTCACTTAGATCGCACCCAAGGTTTCGTTACCCCTAATCCTACCTTTAAACCCTTGGTTATTGATTCCTCACATACGTCGGGAGTGATGTTGTTCAACAACTACCTAAATATGCACTCTCTCCCGAGTAATACATACTAAATAGGCACAGCTAATTGAGCAAAAAGTTATGTGCATTTTACTAGACACTGCGCAATATGCCTACTCGATTCTTCGTTTTGTTGCTCTATCATCCGTTGATCCCCGAATACGATCCCGGCTTAATTCCTTGGGCTTTTACTCAGACTTCAAAGCTCCAAATCACTTGAATTCATTCCATAACATCTATATAGCTCGGAATCACTCCTACAAGGCATAAAATACACTGTTAGTGCCAAACACTAGCTATTAAAGCGCAAACTCAACTAAAGTGCAGTAAATTAGAGTGCAATAATCGACTAACATACGCAATTATAGCCTATCATCAATTAATTATGTTAATATTAGTTATTGTAATATTATTTTTTATTAACGGTTAGATATATTGTATTAATTCTGAAATTGTCTATTTTATTGCTTTATTGGAGGATTATTATTTTCTCTGTGATAGACCCGATATAATTTTTAATTTGAGATAATTTATTTGTAAAACATTTCTATCCAAGTATTATTTGTGCTACTTTATATAAGCCGGGAAAGGAAAGTACTAAATTCAGTTCTGCCGCTTTCCTTAGTTTGAGACATGACACTAACGCCAATGCCGACGACGGCAGGAATTTCCAGTATGCGATTAGCCGAAGGAGCGATTCGGACGGTGTTAATTACAGGCGTGAGCCGAGGATTAGGCAAAGCCCTAGCTCTAGAAATGGCGAAGAGAGGCCACTGCGTCGTCGGCTGCGCTCGTTCCCAGGACAAGCTCAATGCTCTTCAACCCGATCTCGCCTCCGCTACCAATCCTCCTTCTGAGAACAAACACCTCCTCATGAACGTCGACGTGGTAATCCCTAATTTCACATTTTTCTCTTTGCGTCGCCCTTTTTGCATGAACTGTATTTGCATCCAGAATCTTCCAACGGAGTTGCATTTGTATACCTTAAGTATTTCTTTTTGTTTCAGTTTAGTTCACTTAGGAAAATTGGTTAAATAATTCAATAGAGCTTATTCAAGTTGGTAATTGTCTATTCATCTAGAGTTGGGTTTATACTTTATATTATCCATCATGTAGTTTAGCTTAAGCAATGAGGAGCCAAGAATAGAAGAAGATTGAGAAGACAGAAGAAGTTTTTTTCTCTGAACTGGATACTAAAATAGCTTCAATGCTGCATTATTTTAACTTCTTTAGCCGAGCAAGACATCATGGGGAATATAGTTGGATAAATCCGAGTTCCAAAGTATGCACAAGTGAATATGCTGAAAATAAGGGCTGGAGACTAAGGAGAGGAAATATACATGAGTCGAAGTGGGTTTTGGCCATTCTGAGGTGTGGTTAGTTTATAAACAATGAGGATGAATTGAGTGGAACACTGGTAGAATGAGTTGAATGGAAGACATGAAAAATGCAAAAGCCTATTTCTCTCAGGGGGAATAGTGTGTTGCTGTTACTCATTTAATTCGACGAAAAGTTCATGGAGAATATAGTTCGATAGAAACTGAGTCTCAAAGCTCAATTGATGACACAAATTGGTTGACTTCTGGGCTATAACCAGGATTGGACAAAAATGATGTGGGACAGATAGGGACAAGTTTCTAAGAGAACAAGAATATAAATGACGAATGACCCGATGTATAATGAAGATACGGAAATTCCTTAAAAAAATTTATGTCCATTATTGAGGAAGGGCTTTATGAGTGTGCTCAGCTCTAGAGACCCTTTATATTTTCTCTTTCTATGTAAATTTCTTTTTTAATTTTTATCTAGTGTTTCTATCCTCTAGTTTTGCCAAATAAATGAGGGATGAAAGTGTCCCAACATATCAAAAAAGAAAAGAATGGTTTGTAAGATACTATGACTAAGATTAAAAGCCCTTGTTGGTTAAGGAGAGATGGAGTACATGTTTGAAGTTAAGTACAAGCTTTTCTGCACCTCCTCAATCAATACTTTGTAGCCTGTTTATATTTCTAATTACTTGCTTTCCATATCGCTCGTACTTAAAGCTCAGGTGTTTGTCATAGTTGAATGTCATTGTGCTGAATAAACATATTGGTTGACTGCAAGAATGAATATATCTGTGTTTGTGTGTATATTTTGATAGTTTAATTATTTGTTTCACAAAATCGCTGATCAGCCTACATGCATCCATTGACATAGTTTCTGTTTCTTCCTTGGCATTTCAGAGTCTAAATAGCAGTGTTGAAGAGTTTGCACGTGCTGTTATGGAGAAAAAGGGTGTTCCTGATATTATTGGTATTTGGTTATATACAACTTGCTGCTGCTTTACAGTTTCTATTCTTTTTTATAAAAAGATGTATTGATCTTAATATATTTGCTCCCATTACAAATATTGAAGTGCAATCGTACTGAATGACTTATTTATTTAAGAATTCAGATGAGTTTTTCCTGGATCTTTGGGAGTTTTCTAATTTAAACGAAGAATATCTTGAAGGTGAAAGCATTCTGCGATGGTCCGACTAAAAATTGGAGAAAGTTTCTTTTATTAATCCTATTTAAGCTGTTATTTCTCTGTTTGCTGTCACATCTTCACAGTGATAGATGAAAGTTTATTTGTCCTTGAGGATCTGAATTAATCCTCACATACATACAAATTTAGGTACCGGAGAATCTGATGTTTTGTGCTTGATTATGCAACACCTGATGACATCTTTACTTTAAGAATAGCAAAATTGTTCTGAAGATAATCAAATTTCTCGGCATAAAGGGAGCATATTGGTTCTTTCTACTTAGAGAAGAGGGCAAAACAAGTGATTCTCATTTTACAAGGGGCTTATATTCTCTATTTGTATTTCCCGAGCTGTTTCAAGACTGCCCAGTGTACCCGAAGGCTTTGTGCTGTTCATCAGTCTGTATTATGCCATATTGTGTCATCATTCTCTTGCCATCATTAGCATTCGGTGCATTATTTAGTATGATACTGAACACTTCTGCACTTAAAGTTAAATCCTGCAGCTTCTAGCTGTATATGCATGCACCACTAGTTGATGTGTCTGTTGACACATGCTTTAAAAATTTGTGTTATTATTATAAGCTCTCAAGTCGAGTTGCTGGGGAGCTAAGTTCGTGTTTTGTAATAAATTGAGAATTTATAAATGAATGAGGGTCACTTTCAAGATTCTGATGGAGATGTAGTTGATTGAGTGATTTGGCTGTAAATCTTTTTTTGGGTCAAGATTGGCTGTAAGTTTGTAGCAATAAAATAAAGGTGGGAAGTTCAGATGGATATTTACTCTTAACTAAGAGTGTCATATAGGTACGTTGGGTTGATATAGGTAGAAAAATTGATTGAATCAATGAATGGGTCAGTGGATCCTATTTGCCCAAAGTCTGTTCGGGTCAAAATGAGTTGGATCAAGATGGGTTGACTAGCGGCTCATAATCCAAACCGCCCAACTCAACATTTTTTTCCCATTTGTTTATATTTTTCTAGTTTATAGCTGTAAAGTTGATTAGCTTAAGAATGCTTCATTGTGCAATACGTTAAAATTTTGTCATTCTTAAAAACCATTTGTTTGTCTTGTTCTTTTGGGTGACAGTGTGCCCAGCTCCATGTTTATATGGGCTGGTAACTAGCCCAAGTTGACCCATTCTTCTCAATGGGTTAATTTTGGTTAACCTAATTTAATCCTTGAATGGTTTTGCCACTTACCGAACCTGTTGAAGTTTGCTGAATTGGCAGGTTACACTTTTATGGTTTTAAATTGACACCCCTATAGTTTGCACTGGTCTTTGTTATCTCACATTCAAACAAACCTAAAATATGAACCTTGTTCAGTGAACAGTGCAGGAACTATTAATAGGAACAACAAACTTTGGGAAGTGCCAGCTGAGGAGTTTGATTCTGTGATTGATACTAACATAAAAGGAACTGCAAATGTTCTGCGTCACTTTATTCCCCTAATGCTTGAGAAGAAGCAAGGAGTGATCATTAATATGTCTTCTTCATGGGGAAGATCTGCCGCTGCACAGGTATAACTCAGTTTCTGCTGATGATTTACAAAATGATGGTTCTTGAATGCCAGCTGTGCATCGGGTCTTATTTTATGTCCATAGGGAGTTCCATGTCATAAATATCTTGGATCTTTTCCTAATAACTGAGGGATTTCAAAATATTCTAAGAACCATGCTTGATGAACTTCAGGTTGCAATTTCCGTACTTTAGAACATACTTATTTTGAGGATTCTTGACTCTGTATTAGTTAGAGGCTCTAGACTCATGACCCCAGGTCTTTGGGAGTTACAGTTTATGTTAGAGTTTCGTATTGTTATCAATTGAGTATTTCAACTATGAGTATTGATGTTGATTTAAGTATTTAATTAATTGGTTTTGAGCTTCATGCTCGGGTTGAGAGAGTGAATGGTCGGGCTTGCCTAGCATTAGTGTTGGGCGCCATCACGACCGGATTTGGGGTCGTGACATTACATTTCCCAAAAGTAGACCTCTCGTCAGACCTTGTCATTTGTGAGGTCCTCAAAACTTACTAAATCCTGTTATCCAAGGGGGTACTGGAGCTTATTGGCGAGTCTGTCTGGCACTTGCTTTCCTTACGGAGGGTTTCTCCGAAACAAACGAGATTTTCTGCCCCTGTTTCAATCAAAGAAAAATCTTGTCAGTTTAAAAATATGGTGGTTAGCTTGCGGCATTCTTGCTGGGGGTGGCCCTTCCATTGCTGTGCGTTGCTTTGACTGGCTGCCTTGAACTAGCCAAGAATTGTTTGACTTTCTAGCCGACTCTCAACCGCAGGACCTTGAATGACCCAAGTGTTCTACACCCAAACCGTTATTTTTACATTCCTGACCCTTTTATCTGAACCAAACCATTCAACCAATGGAACTTTCACTGACACCTTATTTCCCACTTTACATCATGCTATCTCTGGTATGTTCTGGCCACACTTTGCTTTGTGCAATTTGGAAGTTGGTAGTNGCAGCAGAATGACGGATACTACCAGTTTTTAACTCCAGCGATTACGATACCATACCCCCCCCCCCCCCCCCCCCGGTCTCCCCCAAACCCCCCAAGAGTTGTCTTATGTTTTTGTGAGTTTAGGAGATTTGAAACAATTGGAATGTTTTGAGCAACTAAGACAGAGTCAGAAGGGAGTTTAGGCTTATGTAAATTTTGTATATTTGTTCGATAAAGTAGGTCCTATTTTCCGAGCATTTTTCTTGTTTTCATTGCTAATCACATATTAATTAATTACTAGATAAGATCATTTCAAACTATTTGTTTGACGAATTTTTCTGTGATCAATGTCTGAAACCTTGTACTTCTGATATTTCTGCAATTTTTTTTAAAAAGACGAGTTAATTCTGTACAAAAATTAGTAAAATCAATCCTTGAGAAACAAAAAAAGAAAAGCTAACTTGAGATGTTTAAGTCATGAATGCGCTAATCTTTTCGATGTAGTCGTGTAAAAGAAGCGACCTTCGTTCTCCTTAATCGTAAGATTACTCTCCTAAAGTTAAAGGTTCATTTTTTTCCCCGAAAATTTCTGATAACAAAAAAAACATGAAGATAAAATAATTTAAAGAAAAATGGACGGTCAGAATTACTCAAATATTAAACTTTGATATGAGAAACTAAACTTTCAACTACTCCTATTAAATTATTATTATTATTAGTAATATAATATATAAGTCAAATAAATATTTTAAGCTCCGAATCAAGTATTATGGAGGACTAGCTTGTTATTCAGAGTTTAATTATTTTTAGAATCCTGTTTCTACTTTACATTTATGTCGCTTTGACCCTAGGTCTTACCTCCCTTATATAACGACGGTTTTCTTCGTTCAATTTCTCGATTGTGCACCACGCAGGCCCCCTTCCCTCCCTCTCTTCCTCTCTCCAACACTATGGCTGAAGTTCTGAAGGTTGTGGAAGAAGTAACAGCTGAATCAAAAAATTTGACGGCCAAACTGTCATCTCTAAACAAAGACGAAAGTCTGGTACAATGTGAACTTTTAAATCCTTTGAAATTCTCTCTAAAAGCCGTTGCTCTTTTCTTTGCGATGAATTATCTTTTGGTGTTTTCCCTGACTTCAAACAAAGCTTTAAAATGTCCCATATTTTACTTTACTGTGGTGAGTGTTTGGTCCAAGTAAGCGGGACTTTTGTTTGCTGCTATCTGGCCTTTAGGAAAATAAAATTTGTGAAAGAAGTTGAGGTGAAAGATCTAGCTGAAAAGCTATCAGCTTTTGGGGATGAAATTAATGCTGAGATACTTAAGTTGAGCGGGCTGGAACAGGAAATTAATGCTGATACAAGGAAGAAAGTGGAGAAGGTCAGAGAGAATCTCGATATGATGGAGAAGAGGGTGGCGCAAATGCCAATTTCTGCATCTGTTCCTATTTACTATCAGTTCTTCATAGTTTTATTCGCATTTAAATCTCTTGTGGTTGCCGCCTTTTTATCAGGTGTCTCCCACGCAGTTTTTTGCTCCAAGTGAGCTAATGAAGAACCCAGCCAAGTAAACTGCTTCGTAACTTCAGTGTGTAGTTGACTTGACTAGTAGCTGTAAGTAGTTATTGTGTTTAGTGACTGTTTAGTTAGCCAATTGACTAGTATTTAGTGCTTTGTGTGTAGTTAGCCAACTATCTAGTATCCGTTAGTACTTTGTAGTGATTTTGCAATGACTAGCTTTATCTGTTACCTTTTACAGTTCAGTTCATTCAAAACCTTTCTATAGCTTGTTTCGTGCTTAAAAGTTTTCTTTTCAATTCTGTTTTTTTTAATATATTTTATAGCATTTCTTGAATGCTAGTGACTGCATCATGGATTTGGCAAGTATTATGGGTTGTGAAATTGATGTTTATCCCTCGGTTTATATGGGGCTTCCTTTAGGGGCCAAATATAGTAATCAGGGGGTGTGGCAAGATGTGATTGTGTTATGAATGGAAATAACATCTTGGAGGAGGTATTGGAAAATTTAGCAAGTTATGTGTTGGACCCGGGTTGGAGAATGTTTAAATAACAGTAGGTTAGTAAAATAAAGCAGACGTTGCATTGTGAAGTTCCTTTCCCCTTCTCCGAGTCTGTCTTCTCACCCCCTTTTTATTTCTGTATCTCTGGCTTCTCATCCCCTTCTGGTTATGCTTCCTTTGTTCCTTTAATTCCTTAGTATTTCTTGCTTCCAGTGTAATTCCTTTAATTACTCTAATCTGTTAATCATATTGCTGATGATGTGCAAAAATATTGGTTCTTGTACGCCAGCTGTGCATCGGATCTCATATTTTACGTCTCTAGAGTTCCACGTCATAAATTCTTGGATCTTTTCCTAATAACTAAGGGATTTCAAAATATGCAAAAAGTCAATATGCTTGATGAGCTTCATTTTGCTATGTAAAGTTGGTGACTGTTGAGAACATTTGCCCTAGATGATTTGTGGTGACCATGGAACTCAAACATTGATCCTTTGAGCATTTAAGAACCTAAGTTGCATTATTTGTGGGTCTCAAATGTGAACTTTTAAACTGGCACTACAAAATTTGGAAGTTAATGAGGAAGGAACTTCATGCATGTGATTCATCACCAGATTAATAATTTAAATGGGTGATGAAAAAGCTAATTTATTTAGATTTCCAACTAGCTTAAATCACTTCTGGGGGTTCGAGTCTGGACAAAATTGTTGTGGCCTGATTACATATTCACAGGTGACACCATATTTTTTTTTTGAAATGGTAAGGTATTATAGATATAAAAATATCAGCACTAAGAGAGTGCTGTGGTTACATCCCAGAAAACAGCAAAAAACGAAAAGAAAATCCTCTATGTCTATACAAAAGACTATGAATTCTAGTAGGGTTTCACTATCATCTATCCAATTCTGTTTACACCAAAAAGATATCAACAAGATGCAGTCTGATTTGATCTTCAAGAATGAATTCTCCTGTCCTTCAAAGCATCTCCTATTCCTTTCTTTCCATATACACCACCAAATAGCTACTGGTATTGTATTCCAATCCTTCTTCTTTTGCTTTGACATTCCTTTTCTATTCCAGCATGGCAGTAACTCAGCAGTAGTGTTTGGCATCACCCATTTAATTCCCACAATGTTCAAAAATAATTGCCACAATTGTGTGGTAGCTCTGCAGTGTAAGAATAGATGGTTGATAGTTTCTGTCTCCTCTTTACACATGTAGCACCCGTTAACTAATTGGAATCCCCTTCTTTGTAAGTTGTCCTGAGTTAAACAGGCCTTCTTAGCTACCAACCATTCAAATCAACTAACTTTCATAGGAGCTTTCGACTTCCAGATTTGCTTCCAGGGACCAGTAAAAAACTGATTTACTTCTTTCATTAAAATGTTGTAACATGTCTTGACAGTATAAACCCCTTTGCTGTGTCCTCTCCATATCAAACGGTCTTCATTACTGGTTAGGCTTACCGATGTAGGTAGTATACTGAAGAATTCAGATACCTTTTTAGCTCCCAGTCATTAATGTCTCTTCTGAGTTTTATATTCCAGCTATTATCTTCCCAGCATTGTGCTACAGTGAATTATTGTCGAGTACCAATGTGTATATTACAGGGAAAAGTTCTATGAGAGGTAGATGACCCAACCATTTATCTTGCCAGGAAATCTTCCTTCCATTACCTGTCTTGAAATCAATATGCTGTGAGAAATGAGGTATCGATATGATTGTGTAGTGAATGGCTTTGCCTGTTACTTTTTAGTGTTCAGTTCATTTTAAAAACTATATAGCTTGTTTTGTAGTGATTGTGTAGTGAATGGCTTTGCCTGTTACTTTTTAGTGTTCAGTTCATTTTAAAAACTATATAGCTTGTTTTGTAGTGATTGTGTAGTGAATGGCTTTGCCTGTTACTTTTTAGTGTTCAGTTCATTTTAAAAACTATATAGCTTGTTTAGCAATTACAGTTTTCTTTTCAATTCTGTTTCTTATATTCTTATAGCAATTCTTGAATGGTTTGTCTGTATTAATTCTATCAATGCCAATGACTGCATCATGGATTTGGCAAGTATTATGGGTTGTGAAATTGATGTTTATATGTCGGTTTATCTGGGGCTTCCTTTAGGGCCAAATATAATAATCAGAGGTGTGTGGCAAGGTGTGATTGATAAATGTGTTAGGAAGCTGGCAGGTTGGAAGAAACAGTTTCAATCTTTTGGTGGTAGACTTCCACCGGTGAGTAGTGTTTTGGATGGGATACCGACTTATCTGAGTCGGTTGTTCCGATTCCCAATAAAGTTGAAACGAGGATACATTCTTTAAGGAGCAAACTTTTTTGGGAAGGAAGTGGTGATAGGAGAAAATTTTCATATGGTGAAATGGCAAACAGTACTGGTGGAGGAAAAAGGAGGGGGACGGGGGTTAAAAATCTAAAGATGCATAACAAGCTCTTGAAGTGGTTATGAATGTTAAAGGGTAATGGTTGGGAGTTATGGAAGGAGGTGGTTAACGTCAAATATGAAATTGATGCCCCTATCCTGTGTTAATACCTAACGCATTAGCAATTTGGAACCAAATATGCGGATTATGGAATGAATTTCAGCAGTCTATCATCCTAATAGTTGGAAGTGGTGTTAAAATTAAATTTTGGACTGATATGTGGTTGGATGATGGCAGGTTGAAGGAAAGATTTCCTACTAGCTTGACTACAACTAGGAATTTTTTATTTGCAGATTGCTATTCGAATTCAGGGTGGCAGGTAATTGTTAATGATTGGGAAATTCTCCCAGCTATGCTACTAATCATCTGTTATTGAAACAATCAGGGGAAACGGAGGTTTAGTGGCCTAGGAAATGCTATGGAAATCAAGAGCTCCTTCTAGAGCTGCATGTTTTGGATGGCTGGCTACGCACCGTGCATGTCTTGTGCAGGAAGCTTTGCAGAGAAGGTGCTTCTCCTTATGCAGCAGATGTCTTTTGTGAAAGATCTCAGGAATCTAGCAAACATCTTTTATTGCATTGTTACTATGTGTGGCAGTCTTGGATGCTCTTTTTGAGTGTCCAGTAGGTTATGCCTCAAAATACGACGAGTTTGCTGTTAAGTTGGCACGGCTAGTGAATTGGAAGTAGAAGTAAACAGCTCAGGGCAACTGTTCCCCATTGTGCATCATATTTCTTTTGTGCAAATATATGCTTACAAGAGTTGATTAATACAAGGATCATAAACAAAAGTTCAAGGCTCCCCTAACTACTGTTTCAGCTATTTCCTGGTGTAGAGTGATGCTTCAATCATGTTATATTTCACACTACAAAGTACAAAGAGTCTTAATACCTTGCATTTGTTATTTAGAAGTCCAAATATTAGGTCTGTGTCCTAGGTTCAGTCGACTTTTCTTTTACTGAATTGGGGAACTAATATCAACTATCTTCTATTCTTGGAAATCTTAATCATACACTTCCTAAGATTAATGGCTCACTGAAGTTTCTAAAGGCAAACTCAACCACTTCAATTTTGTACAACTTAAGTAAATATCCTACTAGTAGGTGAATGTACTATAAACCACGGTCTAGGCATTGATATCCAAAATAATTCACCAGAAGGCACAACATCTTGGGATTTCATTCATTTTTGCTATTTTAGGGCAGCCCGGTGCACTAAGTTCCCGCTATGTGCGGGGTCCGGGGAAGGGCCAGGCCACAAGAGTGTATCATTTTTGCTATTTTGCGTCATCTATACTATGTCTGAAAGCAGTCATTCAACTCATTTGAATATAATGTGATAGGTCGCGGTGAATTGCACATTAGAGGAATTCATTTTTGTTGTTCTTATTTTTATGGAAGCAGTATAGTTTACCACAAGAGCTCTTTTTGACAAATTATAAGTATAATATTGGAAAACTGTCATATTTTGCGGATATTCTTTCTGGAAATAAAATTAATTCTTTTTCAACAGATAAATAGTAAAATGGGGATTAAAAGGTAAAAGCTTTTATCGACAGAGTTTTTGGTATCTCGATATGAACCTTGCTTGTGTTTAAAGAAAAAACATACTAGTTCTTTGTTTTGAGTTTTTATTTTTTATTTGTTTAATCAGCAACAAACCAAGACTGGACAACACTTATTTAATTTTGTAAAAAGGTTGTAACAAAATTGTTTGTAACACAAAATGCGAAGAACGAAAATTCTTCAAGAATAGAATCTTGTTTTCATTTACTAGTCTTACGGTACGCGCTTTGTGCGTGTATCCTATATGCATAAATATACGATTTTGAAAAAAAATCTCTCTTTTCAAAGGGTAAAATATCGATCTAATATTTTACTTTGGACAGTTATATTTTCGAAATTATTAGTGCTATTGACTCTTATCGACCACGTCTCGTTATTTCTCGTTTAAACTTTGAAATATTTTTTACTATAAGTTCAAGATTATTATTGATAGTAAAATTATCATGTAACTTTAGAGTTATGTTAGTTAATTCTTTTTGGACAAATTTTCTTATTCGTTATTTTCTTTCATGAGTTTGGGAAGGATGCAATTTCAAAGACCTTGAGGTTTAACCTTTACATCATTAACTTTTCATCACCAAACATTATAAAGAACATTCATAAGCATTATGAAATTAGAAGAGGAAGAGAAAATTGAGCGGTTAATATGAATGTGGCAACTTGGTAAGTAGTACATTTTAGAAATATTATGAAGTTCAAAATGTTGGGCTAGGGATTTACATATATTTTGAGTTGCTACATATTAGTAGTTTTTACTTAGTTCAAATAAAGAAAGCGTTAATGATCAAAATATTCTTAAATTTCAAACTCCTAAAAAATAGTCACGTTAAAAAAATCACAAAAAAGCAATATTAGCTGATCTAATAAGTCTCATATAATGCAAAGAGTTTAACATCTAATATAACTTTTAATATGGTTAATATTACGTGTTTTAAATAATTAACGTAAAAGTTCAACTTTTAACATAGTTTACTTTGCAAAATTATTGCTAAGGAAAGTATTTTTGTAAGTATAATTTTACTCAATAATTTTAATTTCCTAAATATTAGGAGTTCCTACATTATTCAAATAAAGAAAGATTTAATAGCCATAATTTTAGTTGATTTTAAATAACTCAATTTTAGGAAAATAATTAAATGACTATTTTGTATAGTGTGAACTATATTTTAAGAGGGCAATTAAGAGAGCAAAAAAGACGAACGACATTCCGCTAAGGGCCTTCGTGCTTTTAATATAGTATAGATAAGTTCAATAAAATAAAAGACTACTTTTATCTTGCTTATTCACTTCTAAAAATAAATAAAAATTAAAAAGATTTAGAAGATCATAAAGTAAAGTAAAAATACACAATAAAACTCTATTTAATGATACACGGGCAATATTCACTTGTCCTCAATCATCTTCCTTTGTAATTGACGTTGGCTACTTTAGTGGCTACAATTTCACGCAATAAATTTATTTCTTATATATATTTTTTTGGCAAAAATAATAACAGTGCTCAGTCAGTCCGTGAACGGGCACCACCTACTTCGTGGGAAGCTATGGCCATTGCAGCAACAGCTCCTTCCTCACCATTTTTAGGAAATATTCTTCCTTTTCACCTTGTAATCTTCTCTCTCTGCCAACTGCTAGTTATTTCCACTTCGGTTTTAGAAATTGAGTACTTGGTTTCCATTTTTAAAATTGCTTTATTCATTCAAATCAGCTTCAATCTTTGTATTTGTAGGGGAAATCCTCGTTTACCCACAACAATTCTGTTTGCTTTTTTAAAGTCAAAGCATTGTTTTGGGGTTCTAAAAAAACTGTGCAGCCTGCTGCTGACAATGTTCTTTCACTTGGGCAATTCACTTTATCAGGTGCTGCAGATTCACAGGTAGTATTTCTTTGGTTTTTTTTTTCTTTTCTTTTGTATATACAACCTGTTAGTATTAATATTATCAAACATATCAAGTATACAACGTACAGATATACTATAGTATTTAAGTCGTGTTCCTTTTGAAAGTTATGGTAGTTAATCAGCGGCGGGGATTTAAAAAAATACAAATTTGAATGCACTTAAGTATAGGGGATTCAACAATTTATATATATACCAAGAAATATGTTTTTATCCTCTTTATGTTCTGAAGGGGAGCATTGGCTTAACTAGTAAAGTTGCTGCCATTTGACCAGGAGGTCGCGGATTCGAGCCGTGGAAACAACCTTTTGCAGAAATGCAGGGTAAGGCTGCGTACAATAGACCCTTGTGGTCCGGCCGCGCATAGTGGGTGCTTAGTGCACCGCGCTGCCCTTACCCTCTTTATGTTCTGGATGAAGGGGTTTCGCACCGGAAAGTTATAGTGACAGTTTCTTGTGATGTTAATTCAAATGTAATTGGGTTTCTATTTTCTTCCAGGGGGACAAGTCAACGTCCGAAAAGATATCCATTTCTGTGGTTTCCTCAATCTTAGCAGTTTCACCAGACGAATGGGATTCCTGCAGTCTGGATTCCACAGGAACTCAGCAGTTTAATCCCTTTCTGTCACACGGTTTCCTTTCGAGCTTAGAGGACTCTGGCTCTGCGGTGGAGGTTATAAACTATCACTTTGATGACTTCTGCTTAGAATCCTTTGCTTGATTGTTTATTTTGTTGCATGGTTAAAAGAAGTACGCCTGCCATTATTTCTCTTCTCTCGCTGTCTTTGCGTGCTAGTTTTTATTAATTTAACAGCTGGTTTTGTTTGTTTGCATCCTATTATCTATTACAATGAATGTTCCTGGTTTTGCTTGTTTATTCTCTGTTGGTATCCGCAAATGTTTTGGGGGTAATTATGAATGTTGCATACCATTCTTTCAATATCTGCCAATACTATTGTTGGGACAGCTACTAACTCCCATTTCACCAATTCTTGAAAGTAACTAGTTAAGTGTCTTTTCTATCTTCATGATCATCTGTTTACTGCTGCCTCTGTCATTGTTATTACCTTTTTTGATGGAAGAAAAACTTATATTCTTTCTCAGGGAACTGGCTGGATGCCACAACACATCATTGCTAAGGATGAAAATAATAATATCTTAGGTGTTGTTCCCCTCTATCTCAAAAGGTTCAACATCTGCCATGCTATTTGTGGACCATGCTTTTAGTTTGTTTCCTTTATTGGATAATATCTCGACGTGTTTCTGATGACATGCTTGGCTAACTCCTTCTGATCCAAATCTGCAGCCATTCTTATGGTGAATATGTGTTCGATCATTCTTGGGCAAATACCTACTACAATTATGGTTTGAGCTATTATCCGAAGCTGCAGTGCTCTGTACCTTTCACTCCTGTTACTGGCCCAAGGATCTTGGTCCGTAACACGTCAAATAGAGATCAAGTCTTTGACATTCTGGTCTCTGCAATGAAAGCTTTGGCCGTCAAGGTATGCTTTTATTTATGTTCAACATAATTCATAATACTTTGAATTTCGTAAATACTTTTTTAAAATTGTCCAGTTGTAAACTCTATCTGGTTCTTTTTATTTTTATTAATTGTTGCTCATTATGGAAGATCCTGCATATTAAAGCCAACTTTTCTATTATCCTTATTCAATGGAAGATGTGATTTCTACTAGTCTGACTTGATAAAGATTTGTGAGTTATAAGAATCATAGTTTGGGATGCACTATATTTTTATGCATAAAAGTAATCCATTTTCCTGTATTGTGATGACATTTACCTTGACAGTTCAACGTTTCATCTCTACATATTACTTTTCCCACCGCAAATGAGTGGCACAAGCTGGAGGAGAAAGGTTTCCTGCAAAGGATTGGAATGCAGTATCATTGGAAAAATCGTAATTATAAAAGGTGAGTATGTAGATCTACTTCTTACTTGAGATAAGTTGCTCAGAGATTTAGAGGTATGAATTTCACATAGCTGTAGCTTGTAGTTTATTCTTTTTCTTCTTCTTAGTAGGAGGTGTTATTTCATTTGGTCATATTACATCCTATCGAACTATAGATTCCGAATGCCTCATCTCGTGGTTGATGTGTGGAATGAAGTAGCTTGATGCTTATGGAGAATTGGAGATAAGCAAAGCCTTATTGGTAATTGGGTTAAATGGGTTTACTTTTAGAGCTGGTAGTACCTCTATCTAAAGCATAATGGAAGGGGGTGGCCGCTATCTCAGGGTTGGAGTAACATCCTTGGGAACCAAGTTTTGAATCTCCCACAGGTGACACTAGGTGAATTATTTTTATCTATCTAAACCTTGATAGGTAGGGATACCTTGTTTTTGTG